TTATAAATCTATTTATAGCTCAATTAGTCTATGAATTTGGATTAGAATTTTCTGACTATCCAGTCCTTTGTAAAGCAATGGGTATTTCAAATCATTATTTTTGGCTCTCGGCAACATTTTGGATGAACTGTTGTACCATAGTTTTGTTTATGAAATTATCTTTCCCATTACATTCTCGAGCTTTTACAACTAAATATATTTTACTAAGAAGTAGTTTATATTCTACCATTACACCATTAGTAATTGTAGTCATCACCATTGTAGTCAATATGAGTAATAATGGTACAATAGGCTATGGTAATAGGGCAATGTGCTATATTAACGATGCCAATTATAGACGCTATGCTTTCGCCTTACCCCTGGGTTTACTGATTATCACAAATGTTGGATTGTTCAGTTATACTTTCATTAAAATCAGAGTGGATCAGGTTGAATCAACCATAAACAAAGAAAATAAAATAAATATATTGGCCTGTTTAAAACTCTCGGTAATTACAGGTGCTGCTTGGATTTTTGTCTTTATTTATGAAGCGACTGGTGCCATAGTTTTTGCGTACCATTTCACATTTTTAGTGGGAGCACAAGGGGTTGTCATTTTCTTGACTTTTGTTGTCAATAAACGTGTTTGTATGTCTTGTAAGGATAAACTTCACCGTACATCAGACTCTGGTAGTAGTGGTATATCTAAACAGAAAAAATATGTAGTGAAATCTACCGGTGAAAGTCCATTGCCAAGTTTATCTAAAAGTAAATCTAGTACTGATTCAGATACGGGCCAAACTGCAAAACTCCGACCACCTTTACCCAACTTCAACGATGAAGCGGTTTAGTCGTCAAATCCTAATTTCATGTGACATTGATCATTAATCATCAGTAAAGATCATGATTTATGTAACGTTATTTTACGACTAAGTTCATTTAGATTCTATTTATTGTCATCAGCAAAGATGCGGGATTTAATTATCGTTGATCATTAGTGTAAATCATGATTTTATGTAACGTTGAACCAGCATGGAAGATTTATGTAACGTTATTTTATTTTTTTATTATTTTATTATTTGACATTGATCATCAGTCAAGATCGTGATTTTATGCAGCGTCGATTATTGGTCAAGATCATGATTTTATGCAGCGTCGATTATAGTCAAGATTGGGATTTTATGTTACGCTGATTAACAGTGAAGATCATGATTTTATTTCATTTATTAGGTAATGCATTTTATTTAAAGTGATACTACGTCTTAGAATAAATATGAAATTTAAGTTCTCGAAAAGGTCAATATTAGTCTACATTCATCAGTTAGCTTACCTGGTGTCATAAAGTTACAACAGAATCCCTAAAAAATCTGGAAAATTGGAAAATTCATAAAAATAATTTTTTTCGTGATATTAAGCGTTTTTCAATAGTTACAAGACACATGGTATATCTACTAGCTCTTATTCGCCAAGTTTAAAATTCTTAAATTTTATGTTAATTCTAAGACGTAGTATCACTTTAGGAACACTTATCATCATGCAAACATCATGATTCATGTAATGTTATTTCACTACTGCAGTTCAAGTTCATTATTGATTTACTTAGTATTTTAATTTAAGGTTGATCATCAGTGAAAATATCATGATTTATGTAAATTTAGTAAAGTTCAGGATTTTAAGTAAAGTTGAGTATCAGTGAAGATTTTATGTGACATTGATCATCAGTAACAATCACGATTTTATGTAACGTTGATCATCAGTTAAGCCACTGATTTATGTAACGTTATCTTGCTCCATGTTTATTTTCTGTTACGCAGATCATCAGTTTGATAATCAATGTTATATTAAGTCATGATTATTAGTAAAATCAGTAAAGATTCAGGGTTTGTGCAAATATTACGATTTCGTTCCTTTGTTATTATATTTTTTGTCTCTGTAATAAAGAGCCCGTTTCCTGATAACTATAAGGACGAATTCGGGGATATTAGCAAATCCTACAAGACAAGCTTCGAGTTGTCAACAATAACGTCATTACAAATGGACTGTAGTAGAAAACTTGTTAGACTACAATGTTGACTTTTAAATAATTTTCTTAATTTATTTGTTGTATTTTGAACTATTGTCTCAACTCTTGAGATTGTTCTTTTAAATATTTGAAGCTCATTCTTGTTTTTCA